TGTGTGTGTGTGTGTGTGTGTGTGTGTGTGTGTGTGTTTGGGGGGGTAGGGGTTTCAGTACATGATTAAAAGGCTCAGCTGGGACCTGTGGTGAGACAGCATATCACAGCGGAGAGCGCTCAGTAGAATAATAAATTATAGTTGGGAAGCAAAGAAAGAATGATGAAGAGACCCATGGCCTACAGTCTCCATCAAGGGCCAGGCCTAGAGGGATCTCCTACTAGGCCCCACCTCCTAAAGTTTCCATAACACTTCAACAGCATCACAGGCTGGAGAACAAGCTTTTAACACATCTGTCTGTGGAGGATATTCTAGGTCCAAACTATAGCACCACATAGCCACCAAAGAATATGTTTTTGAAGCCTCAAAAATTAATAGTGCAAACAGGGAGATGACTCAGCTGTGCATAACAACAGCACTTGGCACACAAGAAAGCCTGGGTACAGATCTCTGGATCTCATGTGAAAGCTGGACACAGTGGCACTTGTTTGTGATCCCAGTACTCGTCCAGAGAATGGGAGGCAGAGTCATGGGAATCTCCTAAACCTCAGAGGACACTAGAATAGGATGTATGGCAGAAACAAGATAGAAAAAGAGGACCAACCCCCAAAACTGTCCTCTGACCTCTACATGCACTCCTTATGCACATACACAAAAATAAATGAATACACGTTATAAATCAATAGTAACGAATGATCAACTACGTCACTGAGAACACAAAGATACTAAGGCCAAGCTTAATCCCCTTAGCTCGCTCTGCTCATTACTATTTAACCAAACTCATCATGTCCCTGACACCATTCCTGTAGCCTCTCATCTTCCTTTTTCTCTCCCCTAGTCCTATCCTCCTATGCACAGCAACCTAGCAAGGTATTCCCAACCCTTGCACAAAGTCGGACAACCTGATTTGGTCCTCACCGACTATTCCCATCTACTCCATGCTGTGAACCTCATCTCAGTATCCAGAGGAAGCCAATCCTGAACACTTAAATCCTCCCAAGTCAGGCAGCTGCTGAGAAATGAGGCAAGGTAGAAAAGAAAAGAGGGGCTTTCAGGCCTCCTAAGAGAGTTGGGCTCAGCTGTGTACAGCAGGGTTCCTTCTGCCACTGCCCTCATCAAGCTACAAAGGGCACCGGCTTCTCTCCCCTCTCTTGTTCTCAGATCAACAAAAACTGGACTAATCTGGGGTTTTCTCCTCCCAAGAAGTGTTAAATATGTGCTTAATGGCCAGCAAACTAACCTCTACTTATTATATGATGGAATTTGGTGAAAGTCAGGGAATACGATTGGTTAAGTGCAGAACAGATTATCCAGGGAAGAGAAGGGGAAAGTTGGTGTGCAGTAGTGGTGGTGGTGTGTTTGTGTTACAGCCTGTGTATGTGTGTTAGAATCTGTGTGTGTGTGTGTGTGTGTTAAAGTCTCTGTGTGTGTTACAACCTGTGTATATGTGTGTTAGAGTCTGTGTGTACATTATGGGATTTCTGTTGTGGAGTTCATGTACATGTTGTATGAAGTGTGTGTGTGTGTGTGTGTGTGTGCGTGTGCGCGCGTGTGCATGCGTGCACACACACATGCATAAATGTGTGAGAGAGAGATGTGAGGTGCTGTGTGTATCTGTGTGTGTTATGGAGAATGAGGATAGGGGTATAGTGTGTGTATGAGTGTGTTAGGTTGTGTGGATGTGTGGAAGTGTATGATAGATTCTATGTATATATGTATGTGTTTGTTATGGCATTTATATGTGCTGGGAGATGTCTGTGTGATGTGGGTGGTATGTATGTTTATAGGTGTGTGTACATGTCTTGTGGAGGGTAGAAATAGGGGTGTGGTGTGTGTGTTAAACTCTGTATTTATGTGTGTGTTGTGGAATTTGTATTTTGAAGCTTTATGTGTGTGTTGTAGAGTACATGTGTATATGGTGTGAGATTTGTGTCTATGTGGTGTAATGTATGTATGTCTGTATAGTGTGTCGTGTGTGTGTGTATGTGTGTCAGACTCTGTATATATGTGTGTGTGATTGGTAGTGTGTGTGTGTTATAGGGTTTATGTTGTGAAGTGTATGTGCTGTAGATGCCTGTGTGTGTTAGACTCTGTGTATGTGCGTGTGTATGGTTGTGTGTGTGTATGTTTGACTGTGTGCATTGTGGACTTTTGTTATATGTGTATATATGCACTGTGTTGTGTATTTATATGTGATGTGAGGTGTGTGTGAGATGTGGGGTGGTGTGCACGTGTGTGTTGTGGGAGTTGTGGGATAGGGATATGTGGTGTGTATGTTTGGGTGTGTATTAGACTCTTTATGTTGTGGGGTTCATTTGTGAGGTGATATACACGTGTGTAGATGTGTGTAGAGTGCATATATTTGATGAGATATGTACACATGATGTGTGATGAGGTGGGGTGGGATGGTATGCTGTAGGAGATGTGTAAGTGGTGTGTGTGTGTGTGTGTGTGTGTGTGTGTGTGTGTGTGTGTTCCACAGGGACAGGGACAGATGTACCCAGAATGAAAACAGTGGAGGGTGGAGGCCTTCAGGATTCTTTGAAACTCCCAGGTGGAACTTAGGTTTAACACACATCCTGCAGCATGGACCTTTCCTGCCCAGCTGGGATATCCTGTGTTTGTCGAAAGGACTACACGGGGAAGCCATAACCATTGTCCTTTCCGAAATTTGCCTATGTGCCCCTCCCCAGATTGAGGCAGCCGCCCCAAGCAGAGGAAGAGTGACTTTGGAAATGTGTTATCAGCATCCTCCATGGACTTCCTCACCTCCTGACCAGCCCCATTAGCTGCTAACTCCTCAGCATCCTCAAACAGAAACCTCAAAGGCCTGGACAGGGTCAGCATCCTGAAGCCAGCTGCTTTTGGCAGCTTCCTTTCTGGTCAGGCCTAACCTCTGTACAGCTCTGAGTACACCGCTGACAACCACGGCTGCAGCACAGAACACAGGATGGAGCGCCGACGGCCAGAGGCTGCAGCTACCACCTTCCACCAATGCTGGCCAGCCCGGCTGCTGCTGTGGCTCTCAACCCTGAGCTGTTCTTTCTCCTTGCCAGCTTCTCTCCCTCCTTCTCTGGTACCCCGAGTCAGAAGCAGCTACACTGTGGGAAAGACATTCCTCGGTCTTGATAAATGCAATGCCTGCATCGGGACATCCATTTGTAAGAAGTTCTTTAAAGAAGAAATAAGGTCAGATTCGCCATCAAATAACTCCGAGGAGCAAATTGAGCTTCTCTTAGTGTGAAGATGTCTAATTTATGGGTGGGAGCTAAGAGGAAGGCATTTAACAGTGGTAATGGGTTGACATAGGAGGGCAAGGGTGGAAACCAAATTGTCGCCCTGAATGTTAAATTCAAATGTTTCTTTTGAAACTGAAAGGTGAACATTCTTTCTATGACTGCAGTAGCCTGGGACTGTTGACTTTTCCCATTCATTTCTCATAATGGGAGGGATGAAATATATAGAATGCTACTATATGGCAGACATTTTAAACTACTCCAGATGTTGATAGTTTGCACCCATTATTCAGACAGTAAGCAAACATGGTGTCTTAAGGGACTGCCCAAGGCAGACCTGGAATACAAACAAGGACAGTTTGCTCAAACATTTCAGAGCCTGTTCTCTGTTGTGTGATATTGATCTGAGGAAAACAATCAGAGTTTAGTTCACTGTAATGCAAGTGGCTCTCAGAGAGAGAGAGAGAGAGAGAGAGAGAGAGAGAGAGAGAGAGAGAGAGAGAGAGAGAGAGAGAGAGAGAGAGA